ATTTCAATAACTCATCTAGTAACATATGAGTTATTATTTGCTTATCAAAAATTATATAAATTAAATTCTTCTATTAAAATTAAACGTGTTATTGGGTATTTGATAAAATTATCACAAATTTACCTCACTTTACCTTAGATAAAAATTATTATGCTGATGTATTAACACGATTTGTATACTTCTATGTTTAAAAGTGTGGTCTATATATGAAGAGCTACCGGTTTGACACAATTCATCCAAAACCGAACTTATTAAAGCCAAACCCAATTAATTTTCGATCTGTGATTTTTGAAGGTTGAGTAAACTATTATGTTTATTGTTTGCATATTGACAATACATTCCTAAATTAAACATAAATAGAAATACCATTGCGTAACAAAAGTACGCCAGTTTTTGAAATACTTTAAAAGTTTTTATTAGTATGTAATCATGATAACATCAATCATAATGTATGCTTACAATCATAATTCATGATTCAGTCTTAAGTTTAAGATTTTGAATACTAGAAAATATATTGAGTTGCTCAAACTAAAGTTAATTTTAATAGTCTATAGACTATTAAAATGTTGTCAACAAAATTTTTAAGCAAATAATACAACAAATTTCCTTAAGGCCTTTGAAAAATTTAACCTCAAACTTGAATTATTGATTGCTATTTATAGAGTAAATTTTAATGTTGTTAACCTGTCTAAAATAGTCAAAAAATTAAATTAATTATAGTGTCTAATAAATACACACAGTAATTTAAATTAATAATAAATTATTTGCATATCACATATAAAATGTGGAAAAAAACATTTTAATTCAGGTTCGGCTGAAAAATCAAAATAAGTAGATCCATTGTTTCTATTGGCTTGTGTGCACTCGAGTATGCACATTTCAGTTACCGCACCTCAAATCAATTATTATGTATCCTGTCGTTTGAAACGGTTTTCGAGCAAATTAGTTAATGCGCTGAATCTGATTTCCGGTTTTATTCCTATAAACAAATCCACCATTATAATATAACATAACTCATCTATTGCTCGTATTGTTTACATTAGCCTATAGATTGAACACTATTCTATAGCTCAAACTTGTATCAATTACTTCAGTAGTGCTTTAAGTAAATTTAATTACTCAAATATGTACAACAATTTGATATAAATTCCATCATTCAAATATTCATAGTTTAACATCTACTGTTTAAGGCAAGTTATCTCTTAACCGAATAATTTATGTACGAATCTAAAGACGTTCATTATAATATGATCATTAGATTCGATAGTGTAAATAATGACACTAATTATTCGAAGAAAATTCACTTCAATGAAATACGCTAATTTTCGACAAGACTATTATTTTTTTCTTCGTTTCTTGTTTTGTTGAAACTTTTAAAGTACATTTCTATTATTTAATAGTGTATAGAATAAAAAAATATTTGGAATTTGGTTAGATGATAACATATAAGGATAAAAGTGTATTAAACACTCAAATTAAAAAAAATGTAAAAATTCAGTTCTTAAAAAAAATTATAAACAGAAAAATGTAATATACTGAGTGGCCCAGCATTCACTAACAACTTAAATAACTTTTGATTTAGTTAGTATTTTTTACTGATTTTTTTTTAAATAAGTTATACTTTAGGTCTATAATTATATCTCAATAATTTATACTATATATTTTATTAAAAATATTAATTATTTTTTAATTTTAAATAAAATTAAAAAGAAAACAAGATAGCTATTTTGTATAGTAGATTTAAAAAAAAAATTTTGTAATCAAATATGTAATTAATATTTAGTAGAAAATAGTCTGTATCATTTTAAAGTTTTTGAAATTTTGAATTATGATGTGTTATTTTACGGTATTAAACATTGAAATACGTTTTGAGATAAGGACAGAAGAATAATTAGATAATTTGTTTTATATCTTTATAGATTTTGAAATTATTTTAAACATTTTTTTAAAATTAATTTTGTATAATTTAATTTAAAAAATTATATCAATTAAATTATTAATATAGCCCTCAAGTAAATTAAGTATTAAAAAAAAAAATAGCAAAAATAATTTACTGGATCAAAAGTTATTTAAGTTTTTAATGAATGCTGGGCGACCCTATATAGTTAACTATTTTTTTTAGTTATTATTTTAAGTATTGAATCAAGACCTTAAATTTTTATACACAATTACCATAAAAGTAAATAATAATTTATAATTAATATAAATTCTCTGTAAAAATTACAATAATAAATTATTAAATATCAATTTCATACTATATTTAATTGCTATAATAAATATTTATTATAGTCTGTTACTTATATTATATTATAATATATTTACTTTTAATATAATATACTTTTCTAAACCCATTTTTACGCCAATTACATAATAAAACAAATAACAAAGTAAAATTATTCAACTTAGTAGTTGAAATTTATTATCCATATCAAACCTAATTCGACAACACATACTTTAAAAAGATTAAAATTAATGATTATAATTGTTTATATAGTATTATAAAATAAACGAAAAATACAATTTAAACACAAAAATAGCATGTTGTTTAACTACGGAAACTATTAACTCATAAAAAACAAATCAATTTTTTTTTTAACATATAGTAATTAACATAAGCTTTATTTTAACATTTTTAAAACTAAAATTGAAATAGTTAAATTTTTGTTCAAAAATTGCTATTCTAAATCCTCTTCTGTAAGCAGGTTAAGTGTTAAATTTTTAAAAATATTATACCAAATGAAACAGAAATACCTTAGCAAATATTACCCATACGAAAATTATGACTGGTTTTAAAAGCCTTGTTCTTAATTTTATAACAATAGAGGTTGTATCTTGTATAAGCTTTATAATTACTGTGTAGTTGAATTCAAATTGTACCCATTGAGACATCGCAACGTGAATAAAAAATTTGTAGACACAGGCATACGTAACACTCAACGGTAATGCTTAGCTTTAAAAATTTATAGACTCCGTCACTTAAAATATCGAAAATGTGAATATTTTGATTTGTCGTGAAATCCATCATTGTATTCTAACGACAAATGATATCTTCATATGAAAATCATTTATTCGTACCATAAACAGAAAAATCAAAAGAGGGAGGATCTGACACTGAATTAAATCTTCATTAAACCACACATAAAGGACCAGACCACAATTATACAAACATTTTTTTAGTTTCAATAATCTAAATACACTCTCTGATAATTTATGTTTTTCCGATGTACTTGAAGAGACTTGAAATTGATGGTATACAGTTTGGCAAATTATTACAAAAAGTTTGGTATAAATGACGGCCACCAACAAAAAATAAAGAAAGAAAGAATTTTTTTACAGTATTTGTTAGCTAGTTAGTAGCTGTTAAATCTAGAAATATACGTAACTAAAAAAAAAGAAAACAATTTTTTTAATATTATATTTATTTTTAAAATTTTTGAGTGTATTATAATAAACCGATCATTCTGCGTACGCATATAAGCCCTTATACACACTTAAACCTACGCGACTTTTATTGTCAAAATTAATTTTTATATATTATATAAACACTTTTTATATATTTATATGGTATGCTCTCCAATCTCCTGTGTAGTATTTTATACTAACAAATGTACAACTTAATGATTGGTGAAACTTATAATTAGATTGTATATAACATTACTGTCTTGTACAATAAACTATTGACAATTGGCCTAAGTCTTTTTAGTCATCTATAGGGCGATCAAGGATACACGTATACCCTAGATATTACGTATTAATTATTAAAAACGTATAATGTAATGATATTGTAAACATTTTAATCGTCATAACGTAAAAAGTAAGTGTTTTTGATTCAAGCCCTGGTACGAGTTGCGCCAGACTCACTACATACCCACTCAAATTATTAAAATTCGGGTGCTTTTATAGATCATCAAAAACGTCTCAGTGAGAACTGAGGATTATTATGGACAAACAAAATAACGCACATCATGGCAAAATCAATATCTTTTCAGCTTCGAATCAAAGCTAAAATGATAGATTTTTAAAAATAGCTATTTTAACTTTTGTTTAGTAGAGAACGCATTTAGCAAAGACCTAATGGACCAGTTGTCACAACAAACACTGTTAATTATATTATATCGTGTTACAGCTGATACCTAGCGTCTTTACTTTACTCTCCCCTTTCCCACCCAGTACGGGAAATCGATGGTCTACGTGTCAGATGTCATCCGTATACACTTCATCGTCGTACGTCAGTGAGTCAAATTTTTAATGCGTCATCTTTTTTGTAGCAAGCGCCTTCGCTTGAATGGTAAATTGCTTAGACATTGTACGTCAAAATTTTTATTATTTATTTGTTGCACTCTTGTTCTCAAAGTTCTCGTGCCCTTGCACACCTCCAATAATCCAACACTAAATAACTTCACTGCCGTAGTCGCTTATCCGCCGTCTGTTTTCATTTACGTGCCTAGATCTATACTCTGACTCGTCATACTCAGATGATCGACATTATCACCACAAGATCTCATACAGTCCACTCATCACTATCAACAACTTCAATTTTTTTTTTCCATTTCAATTTGATACTGATTCGTAATATTATGTGCATTGCTTAGACCTATAATAAATTAAAGATAATGAAACGTTCATAATGTTCCAAATAAAATTTTTATCCTGACGGAAGGTTGTCAGGTCCATCATTTTCATTTTGCTATAACTCTTTGTTAAAACTGAATCATTGTTCAGAATTTATTAAAGACAATAACCATTCTTTTGATAAGGTATTACATGAAAATCCAATGAAAAACGTATGTTAATTTATAATTTAAAAAAATTATAAAAATTATTATTATCTTAAAAAACTATAAAATGCTTGTTTTTCTAGGGATCCTTTTTTTAAATATATTAAATTATGACAATTAAAATGAACTATAACACATTTGTAAGTTGTTCTGTTAATAGCAACTAAACAAATAATACGTAGAATTTTTTTTTATCAAAACCAGCAAAATCTTGTTATATTTTATAGTATTCAAGTTTAATAGCTTAATATTAGAAATATTAAAATGGCAATTTTTCAAAGTATTAAATTATATGTCTTAATATATTTTATGGTTAAGCATATTGAAATAATAAATAGTACCAAAGATGAAATTGAATATTTATTGAAGCATGATGGCTGGAAAAAATTAAATGATGTGTTGTATATTACTAATTTTAATCAAAAGTACACATTACAACAAACGTTAGAAATGCCTATAACGTCAAAGAATTGTGCAACTCGCATTCGTAATGCAACAATAATACTCGGATGTTCTTACGGCAACGTATTGAAGACAATTTTTTTTATTATAAACCGTTTTTTAGGGTATTGTGAATCATTAATACATCCAGAAAATGAAAACAAAAATGCGTGCGACTGCACTATTGAACTAATTAATATAATACAAAATTTAAGTTACTTAGCAACATTAATGAACGGCGCATTAGTTATTATAGACAAATTACATCATAACCCAATGACAAATTGTAATAAACTTATTTTAAGTAATGTAACTAATAGCTTGTATTTCGAAAACACTTTAAAAGTATCATTACCTCTACAAATAAACCAATTAAATACTCAAACCGTATTAAATACAATAAAACTTTATCTTACGTTTTGTGAAGTTAAACTAGAAAAAGATTTAAATCAATGTCAATTGAAAATTCCAAATTTGGAAACATTATGGCAAAAATTAAACAAGAATCATCAAGTTTTAAAAGAAACAGGAAATAATCAAAACTTTTGGAGCTTTATAAGTCAGAAAATCAACATTTTAATTCATTGGACTCTTATTGAAAAGTATAATAATCTAGGATTCAAATTGGACTTGAACACCAAAGAAACATTTTTACCAGAAAATTTATCAGGTATAAATACTTCCAATAAATTGGACATGAATATGACATATTTTCGTTAAAGTAATAAAATAATATTTTACATTAATAATCTTTTTGAAATTTACCATGATATTAGTAATGTGGTCTATTGTAAGTCAAATCAGTATAATTTAAATTTTTGACTTAAGAACAGTAAGTCAAATAAAAATTTCTGTTTTAAAAACAAGTTTATATTACAATCCAAACAAATCCTTTAAAAATAAAAGTTGGGTAAGTTTTTTTGTGTTATTTGTATAATATTTTTTTCACTTTTCACTTCTAAAAAACTTCTGTTTATCTAATGTCCATAAAATTAAGATAAATATTTATTATTTGTCAATTACTTATCATAAAATAAGCTATCCGGCGTCTCTATATTTTATTTTTTTCTTTCTTATCTAATGCTATTATGAATTTTTCTCAATTCGTATTTATAGTATATGTAAACCAATAAATATATTTGTGTAATATACGAAAGTAAACTCGTAAATTTGATGATCATTTATAACAAATAAAATGCAAATTGGATATACTTTTAAAATTGATAATATATTTTAAATAATATCATGTAAATGTGATCAACATTTTTTATTATTAATCTATTCTTAATTACAAATATACGTTTTCATTTTTTTCATAAAGAAGAAAAATGCTGCTCTACGAAATATTCTTCAAATAAAATCAATCATTTGTTTAAACACACTGGTTGGAAAAATATAAATGATGTCAACTATATCACATATTCGAATTGTAATCATTCATTGCAAGATATAATTCAAAATACTTATAGATATGATAAACAATTACGTTGTATGACGTTATTACTTGGATGTTCTTACGCAAACATTTTAAAGAATATTTTACTTATGTTAAATCATTTTCAAAATCACTGTAAATATTTTTCAAGTCAAGAAAATGTGCACACTTATGCGTATAATTGTACTATTGAACTTCTAAAAACTATACCGTTTTTAACTTCATTAGTGACACATATGGGAGGTGCCTTATATGCTTTAGATAAATTCCTTAGACACCCAGTAGAATATAATTATATAAAAACATTTATTGTAAAAGTATTACTTAAGGATCTTCAAGATAAAAAAATTTTAAAATTATTACCACTTTTGCAAGTCAATCAATCGAATATTGATGAAACATTATCGAACATATTTACTTTTCTTACTAAATGGAATGAAAAACTACATAAAGGCATGAGTTTTTGTAACTTAAATTCCGAAAGTTACCATTCAATTTGGCAAAAATTAAGTCATGAAAATAACATTACTGAAATGGATGAGAGTAATTTCAAACGTTATAATTTTTTCAACTTTAAAATAATATTATTTTCTCAGTGGGCGATTCAAGAAAGATATCTTGATTTAGGGTTTATATTCGACACAGCTACCAATGAAACTATTATACCAGCTTTACTAGATTCACCCGAAGAAGGTAAAAATCTTTTATTTTATACCTTGTTTTAATTTTATTTGGGGCATGATTTTGTAATAAAATTTAATATTGAAATTTCTTGATAAATTGTACATTTTTAGAAAATATAGAAAATTCTTTAATTGATTTTTTTTTCTATCTAATGAATAGAATCTTCAATAAATAACATACTATTAAAAAAAAAAATTTATACAAGTTTCTTATTTTAATTATCCTTTTTGGTACAGAGTTTAGGAATATCATAAATGAAAAAATAAATAAACTGTAAATATTTAGAATATTTTGAAGGTTCTTAAATTATTTCTACTCAACTGCTACATGTAGAAAACTTAGAAGATATTGATTTACTTAGATATCTCATATACTTAAATAAATAGATTTAGTTTTTTATATTTTATTTTATAATATTGAAATATTTCTGTGATTAGTAAAATGACTCACTAGGAAAATATTAATTTTTTATCATTTTATTCAGCTATTGAAAAATATCATTTAACTATAAACATTAAACTTAGGAATATCATAAGTTAAATAAATGACATATTATGAATTTCTAGAATATATTGAAGATTTTACAAGCGCTTCTACTCAAATGCTGGATTCCAAAAATATTGAAGGTACTAATCTACTTAGATATGTTATATATTTAAAATACAAGCTCTAGTTATTTTTATTTAAATTAATAATAATAAAATATCTTTATAAAACCTGATTTATTTCAAATCAAACGAAACTAATTTATATACTTCATGTAATTTAAAAATCGATGATGAATCAAATTTTAAATCGATTATCAATTAAATGAAGGTATAATTATTATGAACATCGATGCAAAGCTGAGATGGAATTAGTTTCACCATGATGAATTTATTTATTTTAATTTTTTATATTTCTGTAAAATATCCTTTTAGATAAAAATGAGAATAAACATGAAGTAGATTCACCATTGATATATATTCCCGAAGATAAAAGATCATTCAATAAATATCTTTAAAATACTCCATATGGGTACAAATTCAATCATACGTAGAATACTAAATAGGATTATTCAATTTATAAAAATTGTTTGTTTGGTTATATTATAAATAATAATGTACACATATTAGTGAATCTTTTATTATAAATTCAAAGAATTTTACTATTATAATATTAGATTTTTATTTTATGTATATTTGCATATAATTAAAAGGAGTATTTTTAAATTATATACAGTAGTATTTACTTTGAATATTATCCCTATATTTTCATTGTAACAATTGATTATTATAGTAATAATTTTTTGAATACATTAGTATTTATACATTATGCATTATTATAACTAATTTATGTTGTAATTTCATATGGTATGATAATATTAACGAAGATTTTTATGTGAGTTTATTTATTTATGAGATTCTATAGGGGCAGATTAATTTTCAGAACAATATAAATTAATGGATATAAAAAAACAGTCAATGGTCTTATTTGTTAAAAAAATACAGCTCTTTCCGTAAAAGTGGATATAACATAAATTTAAGATAACAATTGTATATAAAAAATCTGTAGTTATTAATTTTAAGAAGTTAGTGGATTATATTAAAAGCAAAATGAAATCCAATTTCCTTCCTATTCCTGATTAGTAGTTTTTTGATTTAGAAGTATAATATATGAATAAATATATATTATTGCAATAACATATTGTATGAGATTGATATTTAATAATTTAGTACTGTAATTTTTTCGGAAAATTTATAAAAAATTATAAAGTAGTTATTACTTTAATGGGAAATGTGTATACTATTTAAAGGGCTTGAAACAAAACTTTTTAGATAATAATTTGTTGTTAATTATATAATTTTATTATTCATGTTTTCGTGCTAATTTAAAATCCGAAATCATATTTTTATATTAATTATTAAATTTATATTTTTGAATATAACTATAAAGAAAATAGTTCTTAATATTTCAATTGTATCATCTATTTAAACACCAAGAGTTACATAGAAATGATTAATATTTTTTGGAAACGATTTATTACGATAAAAAAATTATTATAGATTTTGATTTTTACTATGTTAAAAATAATCACTTAAAAATATATCACTTTTAACCTATTTTTTTGGTCCTTTCAAGTTGATTTTTTGAAAGTTTATAATAAAAAAAAAATTGAATTTGTTACCATAACTTTTAGCTCAACTTCAAATTTGGAATTTACATTATTAAATAGAAAATTTTATTAGAATTACAAAAATAGAATTGTTAAGATTAATATGCAATCAGGAAATTTAATAATTACTACTTACTGTAAATTTATCAGAAAATCTGAATATTTTTTTTTGCATTTTTATTGTAATAGACCACTTAAATAGAAATTATGGTAATTTTTGTTGTTTAAAAAGATTCTACAATTGAAATATTCAGAACGTAATCAATTTCAATGATTTACTTTAACTAAAAAAACCAATCAAAATGTTGATAAAAAAATCTACTCAATTGAGCATATTATAAATTATAAAAATTCATTGTTAAATTCAAGTGAAACTAAACATAATTCTTTTTAAAAATGTTTATATAGCAACATATCAAAAAATTCGGAATTATAACTGATAGTAATACACACAAATATAATTAATGAATTACAAAGTAAAATGATTTAATTTTGTAGTTGAAATTATTAATTTTAATTGTCTATATGAAAAATATAAGCTAAGTAACTTTTTAATTAATTAATTGGAAATTTTTTTAATTTTTGAGGGTAATATCTTTGACTAGATAATAGTTATGATCATTTGATGAATCATTAAAAAATAATTACTTTATAATTTTTTATAAATTCTTCGTAAAAATTACAATAATAAATTTAATAGCATATTCATACTATATTATATCAAAAATTGTATATATCCATACATTTTTCAAAAATGTATAACATTATAAAGTTAAAAATATAAAAAATAGTTTATTTACAAAAATCGTATTTTAGCACCGATTTGAAACTGAGATGGTATTAGTTTTACTATAATGCGTTTTTTTTTTTTGTGTTTGTTACCACTCTTTCTCAGCTCTCACCGAACCGATTTCTTTCAACGATACGTCAAAAAATCAAAAATCGTATTTAGTCTTTTTTAATCCAACCCACAGAGGGGATTCAAAATGAGAACTTTTTCACAAAAAAATAATTTTTCAACTTAACTTTTGAAATTTTTTTGAAGATTTCCTCAATTTACGGGGAACAAGGGATATTTTTTCAATTTTTGAGGAAAATGTATTGGACTAAATACAATTTGTGACCTTTTGACGTATTGTTGAAAGAAATCGGTTTGGTAAGAGCTGAGAATAATTGGTTACAAACACAAAAAAAAATAAAAAAAAACACATCATAGTAAAATTAATACCTTCTCAGTTTCGCATTGAAGCTAAAATCGAGGGTATAGAATTAAATAGATACATCAACTAAAATTTGGATTTTTCAATTATAAGTGTATTATAATAATAAATAAAATAAATTATGATATAACATTAATTGTTAAGGAGCTTTTTTTCATTAATTTTTAATTCGCTCCCATTACTAAAAATCGCTGGAAATTCTCAGACATAATTAAATAATAATTAAATAATGTGAACTCGATTGGTTATATGATACGAATCAATAATAAAATTATTTTATTATTTTTGATCCGGATTTGATGCACAACGCTAATTATTACCTTATAACACTTGCCCGATATGTCGTTGTATAATAAAAAGAAAATTATAATTTAAGAAGGACAAGTAAGCTGCCTGGACATATATCATTTGAAAAATAAGGATAATTTATATAGGTCATATGTAATCCTACTCTAACATCCTTACTATTTGTCACACATAATTCATAAAATGTTGACATCCTAACCCGAATAACCAACCACCACCTTCTTAAAATAATATTGCAAATACATGATTAAAATCACAAAGATGAACATTAAAATATACTATTGTAAAACTTACTTTAAAAATTGTTTTTACTGTATCAACGATTAAACAATGCTAATAAAACTATTTGTCATATAATTTATTATTTTATTATGATATATAAAAATAAAAACTATAATACCTTCATGTCTACGCAAATGAATTTCCCCTTCTTAATCGGTAATTAGTTACAGCCCTATTTTGTGTAATAATTACTAATTTTTTTAATGTAAGGCGGCTTATAAAATAGGCAAAACGAGTACTTAGGTGTACTTCGTAATCATTAAAATATTTATAATGTTAATTTCAATCATTTCGCACTATAATACTTTCAATTAAATCAACATTTAAACTTTAAAATAAAATAAATTTATTATTCTATTATTCAAATATTATGATTATATTTTAGATATTTAGCTTAGCTTTCATAAGATTAAGTCAATAATATTGTTAATCAAGTTTCGAGAACAAAGTACAATTTTTTAAAATTCACTTGTAAAATCACGAGGTTAATTTACGGAGTATTGTTTTTGTATATTTTAGAGTGTTTATATATAAACACTTAAGATCTATTCACTATAGTGTAAAGACGTTCAGTACAGTTTACCCTTACACGATTTTAATTATTTATTAAAACTGGAAAGCAACTACTATGTCAAAGGATTCAACAATATATACCACTCACTCGTTGGCAACCTTCCCATGGTACATTCTTGTTTATTGTGAGCAAATTTATCCTTTCGATTGTAGCCAACGTACTATAGAAACCTGTTTTAGTAGCTTTTTGTGTCTAAAAATTAAAATTACATATCGTACCATAAATATAGTTCATTATTTTGTAAAGCAAATACTCATTCACTTGTCATGGCAAATATTCACAATGCCTCTGAAATTTTCTCTCGTAGGTGGCATACAAGAAACATTGTACGTTAATATTTTGTATCAAAGACAAATTGTTGCTTCGTTTTGAATATCACCCACTAAAGTTTTCAATGAACGAAATTTTCTAACCACCACTTCAATAAATATTTTTATTTTAAGTATGATAATAATATATGTTATGTCAATTATTGTATAGTTGATTTGTTTGTCCTTTGAAATACAATTAACAATATTAATTTAGCACGCAATAACTAGTTGAGTGATAAATTAATGAACTGTCATAGTTAAAAGTATATTTTAATACAATTTAGCATAATAATACCTTGTTTTTGCACCGTAATTGTTTAAAAAATTTTATTTCCAGTGAATTGTTGCTGTAAAAATGTCTAATAAAATCAAAGATTATAATTATTTATGACAATAAATCTAATATATATTTTTAATTATTATAAATATTTCCATAACTCGTTAAGTTATTCATACAAATTGATAATCGTAAAAAAAGATTTTTACGCAGTATCTTTTCTTTTAGATTAAATAGAAGAAAAAAGAAATTAGAAAAAATATATTACATCTAAAAAGTACACGACATTGATTGATAAATTAAATCATTAATAAAAAAAATGATATTTTGGCTTCGATGCGAAGCTGAGAAGGTGTTAATTTTACTATGATTTATTATAATTAAATTATAATTAAATTTTTTAAATTTTTTTACTGAAAACTATCATAACATTTTCAAAAATGTCAGAATCAATATAATTTTTTTTCATAGATGCATGATGACTTTACCTATCATTTGGTATATTTTTTTTTATAAATCCTACCCTTTATTTGTCCACAGGGGAAATTCAAAATGACAATCTTTTTCACAATAAAATAACTTTTCCAAGTTAACTTTTGAAAGCTTCCGAAAATTATGACACTTTTATACATATTTTAAATTAAAGATAATGTAATATACTTTATTATTGAAAAAAAATTTCGGACTTTATCTTGTCTTCATGACGAAAATGGCTATTATATGCTATTTTTGTGTTAAAATTTATAATTTTATATTTTACATTTTTAATTTTATAATTCTATAACTTTTTGAAAAATGTATGGATCATTACAATTTTTTTTTAGAAGTAGTATTTATATAGATCTTTCATTCGACATACTTTTTTTTTAAATCAGACCATTTCCCTTAATACAGGAGGGATTCAAAACATAAAAATGCATATAGAAAGTAGAACTTTTTCAACTTAAATTTTGAAAGTGTTCTGGAAAGACTGGCACTTTTATATATATCTTAAATAAATGCTTATGTAATGTACTTTATTATGAAAAAAAAAAAATCGGATTTTATTTTGTTTTCATGGTAACAACGGACATCAAAGTTAATAAAAAAATAA